ACGAGGGACACAGGAGAGGTCAGCAAAGCATGGTATATGTGCTGACAAGGAGAAAACAGTCTCAGCTTGATGCTATCCCTGAACCACCCCAATAACAATGATGTATGTCAGTTGTAATTACATGAGGGACACAGGAGAGGTCAGCAAAGCATGGTATATGTGCTGACAAGGAGTAAGCAGTCTCAGCTTGATGCTATCCCTGAACCACCCCAATAACAATGATGTATGTCAGTTGTAATTACATGAGGGACACAGGAGAGGTCAGCAAAGCATGGTATATGTGCTGACAAGGAGTAAGCAGTCTCAGCTTGATGCTATCCCTGAACCACCCCAATAACAATGATGTATGTCAGTTGTAATTACATGAGGGACACAGGAGAGGTCAGCAAAGCATGGTATATGTGCTGACAAGGAGTAAGCAGTCTCAGCTTGATGCTATCCCTGAACCACCCCAATAACAATGATGTATGTCAGTTGTAATTCACACGAGGGACACAGGAGAGGTCAGCAAAGCATGGTATATGTGCTGACAAGGAGCAAGCAGTCTCAGCTTGATGCTATCCCTGAACCACCCCAATAACAATGATGTATGTCAGTTGTAACTCACACGAGGGACACAGGAGAGGTCAGCAAAGCATGGTATATGTGCTGACAAGGAGCAAGCAGTCTCAGCTTGGTGCTATCCCTGAACCACCCCAATAACAATGATGTATGTCAGTTGTAATTCACACGAGGGACACAGGAGAGGTCAGCAAAGCATGGTACATGTGCTGACAAGGAGCAAGCAGTCTCAGCTTGATGCTATCCCTGAACCACCCCAATAACAATGATGTATGTCAGTTGTAATTCACACGAGGGACACAGGAGAGGTCAGCAAAGCATGGTATATGTGCTGACAAGGAGCAAGCAGTCTCAGCTTGATGCTATCCCTGAACCACCCCAATAACAATGATGTATGTCAGTTGTAATTCACACGAGGGACACAGGAGAGGTCAGCAAAGCATGGTATATGTGCTGACAAGGAGCAAGCAGTCTCAGCTTGATGTTATCCCTGAACCACCCCAATAACAATGATGTATGTCAGTTGTAATTCACACGAGGGACACAGGAGAGGTCAGCAAAGCATGGTATATGTGCTGACAAGGAGCAAGCAGTCTCAGCTAGGTGCTATCCCTGAACCACCCCAATAACAATGATGTATGTCAGTTGTAATTCACACAATGGACACAGGAGAGGTCAGCAAAGCATGGTATATGTGCTGACAAGGAGCAAGCAGTCTCAGCTTGATGCTATCCCTGAACCACCCCAATAACAATGATGTATGTCAGTTGTAATTCACACGAGGGACACAGGAGAGGTCAACAAAGCATGGTATATGTGCTGACAAGGAGCAAGCAGTCTCAGCTTGATGCTATCCCTGAACCACCCCAATAACAATGATGTATGTCAGTTGTAATTCACACGAGGGACACAGGAGAGGTCAGCAAAGCATGGTATATGTGCTGACAAGGAGCAAGCAGTCTCAGCTTGATGTTATCCCTGAACCACCCCAATAACAATGATGTATGTCAGTTGTAATTCACACGAGGGACACAGGAGAGGTCAGCAAAGCATGGTATATGTGCTGACAAGGAGCAAGCAGTCTCAGCTTGATGCTATCCCTGAACCACCCCAATAACAATGATGTATGTCAGTTGTAATTCACACGAGGGACACAGGAGAGGTCAGCAAAGCATGGTATATGTGCTGACAAGGAGCAAGCAGTCTCAGCTTGATGTTATCCCTGAACCACCCCAATAACAATGATGTATGTCAGTTGTAATTCACACGAGGGACACAGGAGAGGTCAGCAAAGCATGGTATATGTGCTGACAAGGAGCAAGCAGACACAGGAGAGGTCAGTGTGACACTGGCCCAGATACACATGATCACGTACAGATTAAGTAACAGTAAGTCATGTGACCTCATTTGACCTTGGCCTTTATTCTACAATAATCAGAGGGAAAATTTTGTTAGCTAATCGAATGTGTTTGAATGTGATGGACATTGACTTGTAAATGATGTGGAAACGATTGTCACCTGTCAAAATACTGCCTTAACTGCACTACCCCGAACTGTTCAGTTATGGCCATCTGCAATATATCAAGTGTTTACTCCTCTAAATCTCTCATGTTTCCCCTGAATATATGCTTGTCATCAACCCACATACCATCAGCTGTCCGTCAGTACTCATACTCAGTCAATCACCCGAGTCAACATGGCTCTTCTCTACATTCGGATGACATGTTTTTTTAGCAACATGATTTTATTTTTTGTTTAACACCACACTCAGCACTATTACAGCTGTATGACGGCAGTCTGTAAATAATCGATTCTGGACAAGACAATCATGAGTAGGCGTGTCACGATTAATCGAAATATCGATATATTGCTATTGGTAAGCACTTAAAGTCAATAAATAGATTGTTAAATCAGTTTCCGATCAATAGTATCGATTTCAGTTGGGAACATCGATAGTTTCGATTGTATTTATTATATCATGCGATTGAGTCACCGAAACACGCTCACTAACGCAGCCGAGTGAGGATCAGAGTTAAGTGCCCTTGATGCTTAGCAACCAGTCTTTCTCAAATTTTTTGGCTGAGGGTGACAGTCAAGTGGAGTTTGTGACAAACTTGGGTGGAAAGTCGAGTGTTTAGAAGTCTGTTGGTTATGTTTAAGAAAATAACAAGCTTGACAAGAAACGTGTTGGATGCTGAAAGGGTGGTATCACTATCAAGTATTGCAGGAACACAACAAATCTTTCTGATCATCTCCGTCGCAAACACAGGAAGACAGACTTTGAACCACGTGGAGGTCAAACATCCAGTCCTGCTTCACTCAACCGTCAGTCAAAATTGCAAACATCTTTCTTCAGGGAAAATACCATCTAATTCCCAACGAACAAAAAACATAATGGATTCCATTTCGGAAATTATGATCAAAGATCTTCGACCTTTTAGTGTTGTGTCAAATGAAGGATTTCAACATATGATCGTGGTTTTGGACCCATCATACAACATTCCATCAAGACAGAATTTTTCCGATGTGGCTCTGCCTCAGCTTTATTAGAAAATAAGAAACACTGTGAAACACAAGTTACAGGAGACTGACCACATATCTCTCACAATCGATGGATGGACAAGTAGGGCGACCAAGTCTTACATTACAGTGACAAGCTGCCACATTGACCAATACTGGCGTATCAGAAACTTTGTTCTACAGGTATTTATAACTTAGCATTTTAATTAACCATTTAGATGCTTTTTTGAAAGGTTGTTGCATTATGTGTTTGTTACAATTTCAAAGGTTATTTTAAACTTTAAATTTCTTTAGTACAATTAGTAGATGTTAAATTTGTTAGATTATAGGATTTTGATTAAGTCAAAAATGGAAATAATTAATGTTTCATATCTAGTCATGTTTACATTCAAATAATGGTGAATGTTTGAAGTCTAATCATGACATTATTATTTTGTTTAGTCTTTTGACCAGTTTTACAGTTTCAATAAAATACATGCACTGCTGTTCAAATTTGTTTTTCTTTTGATCATGAGTGGTAGTAATTAACACATGGTAATGTGGAAGTTTCTTTTTCTTAAATTATTAGGGTAAAGAAAAAACATATCAGTCATATCTCAAACTATACTTTTTATTTGTTGTTATGGTTATCACATTCAAAGGAAACTTCAGTTCCAAGGTTTAATTCAACTCTAAAATCCATCTAAAATGATACACTGTAAACTATCACTATTTATCGCAATAGTTTCTTTCAACATCTATAGTTAGGGCAATAGTTTCTTTCAACAGCTTTAGTTATTGCAATAGTTGCTTGCAATATCTATAGTTATTGCAATAGTTTCTTTCAATATCTATAGTTATCACAATAGTTTCTTTCAACATCTATAGTTAGGGCAATAGTTGCTTGCAACAGCTTTAGTTATTGCAATAGTTGCTTGCAATATCTATATTTATTGCAATAGTTTCTTTCAATATCTATAGTTATTACAATAGTATCTTCCAAAATCTATAGTTATCGCAAAAGTTTCTTTCAACATCTATAGTTAGGGCAATAGTTTCTTTCAACAGCTTTAGTTATTGCAATAGTATCTTCCAAAATCTATAGTTATCGCAAAAGTTTCTTTCAACATCTATAGTTAGGGCAATAGTTTCTTTCAACAACTTAAGTTATTGCAATAGTTGCTTGCAATATCAATAGTTATCAAAATAATGACTTCCAGACCAATAGTCACCCCTAATTACGAGCATTGATCCACGCATTTGGGATACGATGACATGCATCGACCAAGTCAGTGAGCCTGACCACCCGATCCCCTTAGTCGCCTGTAACCTAGCCTTTTATGACAAGCATGGGTTCCTGAAGACCTATTCTACCCAAGGTCTTCACAGATCGTAAGCAACAGGAAGGCACTGTCAAGTTACAGTAGCTGGCTCATTTGCCTGATACCATGCGGGCCACTTTTGGATAATTCTATCTATGTCAACTATAATTTAGAACGACAACCCACTCAAGACTCTGGACTCACCTACAGCTTTGTGACCTGTACATATAACAGTGCTAAAAAGGTTACAATGGGCACAAGATTATACCTACTTTATACTTCACACAAAACATGACTGACCAAGAATCTCACTCATTTACATGTCACTCTGGGATTTATCTAAAGTATTCAGAGACTGATATACAGTCCCAAGTCTGCAGGAAATGGGGGTAAAACTTCCCCAATTGGATTGGAAACTTTCCTGTTCATGCTAATTTACATGCAACAAATGTTATGGTATAGTAGACAGTATCTTTTATCTGACAGGAAAAGACAATCAATGTTTTACATTTTTGTAAAATCTGAGGACAAACGACTTGTTTCCAGAATTGGCTTGACAGACAGAACTTCTTTCAAAGAACTTCCAGACCAACAGAACATCGTTGCTCCCGTACTCACATCGGAAGAGCTGCACCTTGTTCCGGAAGCTTTGTTTGCGGAGCCAGGAGCTGTGAGTGCACTCCGACAACTTCAACAGGGTCTGACATGCTGCAACATAAACACCTTCCGTTAGAGTGAGTGAGTGAGTGAGTGATGGGGACACACTGAGGGGGACACACGGAAAATGGGTTTCATACTTTGTACCCATGAGGGAAATAAAACATCTTCGGCAAGATGAGCCAACGCTTTTACCACAAGGCTACACCTAGCTGCTTTAATTACCCATGGGTATTCCTGGTCAGCATAGGTCCCTCCACTGGTTGTAATGGCGTGGATCATTGCTCATAATATCAATCATTAGATTATCTGGTCAAGGTTTGAATATTTACAGGTCACAAGCTGGAACATTGTCGAGGGGCACTTCGCTGACTTGTCACAGCAAGACAATTTACTCCACTGACTCAAGTGTTTGTGAATATACCACTTTATCATACCTCCATGTCATAATGATGAGATCTGATTGGTTCATATGATGGTAAGTTAAATTCATTGTAGCAGTATCATTTGGGGTTTGTGTCCCTCGCAAAGTTTTATACCACTCCCCTCCAGCCTATTGACGAGGAAAAAATAAACCACTTGTACTCCTTTGTGATACTGCTACAACTTATAATGTCATCATGTCATGTCCACAAAAGATTTATCTAACGCAATTCCTTCTGTGTGATCCTCAGAGTTTATCAGTGAACCCTCTTACTACCACAAACAATATGGCTTCCTACTGTCTTGCAGCACATAATACTCATGTTTCAGTTTCCTGAAAATATGTTTTTGCCAAATTTGATTTTATAAATTATAAACATAGTGAACATACGAGGGGTGTTCATTAAAGATTTCCCCTAAACCACTTAGGGATATCATATTTGGTTGAAATTTCACATGTGTAATGATACATGTATCTATGGGTTATGTGCAACTATTAATCTTACCACTTTTACAGGTGTTATGATCGAGTAGGGTGTGACAATGGAGCCAGTAGAATACCAAGCAGTGATTAGGTTTTTATATTTGAAAGGTCGCACACCAAAAGAAACTTTCAATAAAATGAAAGCAACTTATGGGGAAGATGCCCCATCATATGACGTTGTTAAACACTGGCATCGCCAGTTCAAGTGTGGTCAGACATCTGTGGAAACAGCTGCCATTCCTGGTCGCCACCATTCAGCCATTGATGAGGTCACTATCCATCAAGTTGAGCCGCCATTTTGGCAGACCAACGTATAACTGTTCGCCAGTTAGCACAAGATGTCAAGATCAGTGTAGGGTCTGTGGAAAAATCATCCATGACAATTTGAACATGCATAAGGTGTCTGCACGATGGATTCCCAGGTTGCTCACACCTTTCCAAAAGCAGGAACGAGTCAATTGCTCAAAGGATCTTTTGGACATGTGCCAAAAAAAACAGGCAAACTTTTTTGACAGACTTATCACACAGGATGAAACATGGGTCCATCACTATGATCCTGAGACTAAAGTTCAATCGATGCAATGGAAGCATGTGGAGTCACCACCCCCAAAGAAGGCACGTGTCCAACCCTCTGCAGGCAAGGTCATGCTCACGGTGATTTGGGACCAGCACGGAGTAGTGATAATGGATTTCTTGGCAAAGGGTACCACAATTACAGGAGCTTATTATGCTTCACTGCTGCGGAAATTGCGGGACGCTATCAAGCTTAAGAGGTGTGGCATGCTGACCAAGGGTGTCCGTCTCCTGCAAGACAATGCTCCAGTACACAACTCTCATGTTGCCCAGACAGAAGCGCCGTCCTGTGGCTATGAAATCCTTCCACATCCTCCTTACTCTCCTGACCTTGCACCATCTGACTTCCACCTCTTTCCAACAATGAAGTCATTTTTTAAGGGAAAACGTTTCACAGATGATGAAACACTGGTCCTGGTTTGAGACGCAAAATGAGTGCTTTTACAAGCGAGGTCTCCATAGTTGCATAAAACGATGGGAGAAGTGTGTAACTCTTGGTGATTCCTATGTGGAGAAAGACTAATACCTATGCCAAGTTTCATTCCACTAGGTCCATCGGAAGTGGGTCAGGGGAAATCTTTAAAGAACACCCCTCGTAGTCCTATAATACATCAACATCCAAAATTCAAATAACAGCTATGAGGATCAATTCTACCAGAAATTCCTCGGACAGACTCTCTGCAGACAATTCCTGATATATGAGCAACCACATTGCAGTTTTGTTTGTTTGTTGTTCAATGCCGCACTCAGCAATATTCCAGTTATATGAAAGAGGTCTGTAAATAATTGAGTCTGTAAATAATCTGACCAGACAATCCAGTGATTGACAACATGAGCATTGATCTACTCAACTGAGATACAATGACATGCATCAACAAAGTCAGCAATTCTGACCACCTGATCCTGTTTGTGGCCTGTTACAACTAGCATAGGATGCTGAAGACAAATTCTAACCCGGATCTCCACGGGTGACATTGCAGTAAACAACATACGTACCTATATGGTCCTTCGGCCTGGGAATCCCCATGTTAGCCATCTTTCGGAAAGCTGGATGAACACATGCCAATCATTTCCCTGAAACAAACACTTCATGTAGACTTCCTTGTAGGAGTATTCACAGTACCTAGATGTCTCATGTGCATAAACATAATCGTGACCACCTTGTTAATTCAGTTTCAGTTGAATTATTTAGATGTAAAAAACAATGAGACAAGCACGGGTTCAAGTATTGTCATGACAAATCAAAGGCAGCAAAACTATAAATCCATACCCAACATATTTTCTCTATTAATATGATTAGACACCCAGGCGTCTTTTTATCTTGTGCAAGCCATGGACCTAGCATCTTTAGAGGCTGGCATCTATTCAGTTGGCAACTTACTACCTTACTGAATCCCAAATTCTACAGTCATACAAATGGGGCCACAAACAGCCATTATTAATTGAAGGGAGTACACATTATATGCCCTAAATTAATGTGACAGGCAGACGTGGGATATATCTCAGGCCCTACTTCTATTTTCTGGACAGAGCGCATGACCCAGTGTCAATTAGAGGCCGCTGTGTATTTCTATTCTGGCATCTAAAAGAGGAAGAGCGGTATAGGAAACTCTGACTCGTTAGAATCTTGCAACACAACCAAGGTTATAACTCTAATTTTATGACCCATAATACTAATTATTGTCACTTTACGGTAATATCTAAACATCTTGGCACATTATGACATCATCATTGGGCCATCTCGGGAATAATTATGACCTCACCATTGTGCCATCTCGGCACATGATGACATGACACTATCATTTGGCTATCTCGGCACATGATGACATCATCATTGAGCCATCTCGGCACATGATGACATGACACTATCATTGGGCCACCTCGGCACATTATGACCTCACCATTGCGCCATCAATCTTAAACAAGCATAGGTTGTTGGGAACCTGGTCTAAGCTCCAGGTGTGCTTCTTACAGCAAATATGGTAACTGAAATACTTTTCAAAGCAGTGTTCAACGCAATTCACTCACTGACACTCCAGAGATATTCCGAACATAATAGGCTTAATCTTCATGAGTTAATGTGAGCTGTCTCATGCGAATCCTGTTTCACTCAGGAGATCGGGTTGATGATATTCCCACACAATACTTCCTCATCCTACATCCACAAGCCTGTAGTTGTCAATGTAGGACATTCCGTGAGTGAGTGAGTGAGTGAGTGAGTGAGTGAGTGAGTGAGTGAGTAGGTTGATGATATTCCCACACAATACTTCCTCATCCTACATCCACAAGCCTGTAGTTGTCAATGTAGGACATTCCGTGAGTGAGTGAGTGAGTGAGTGAGTGAGTGAGTGAGTAGGTTGATGATATTCCCACACAATACTTCCTCATCCTACATCCACAAGCCTGTAGTTGTCAATGTAGGACATTCCGTGAGTGAGTGAGTGAGTGAGTGAGTGAGTGAGTGAGTGAGTGAGTGAGTGAGTGAGTAGGTTGATGATATTCCCACACAATACTTCCTCATCCTACATCCACAAGCCTGTAGTTGTCAATGTAGGACATTCCGTGAGTGAGTGAGTGAGTGAGTAAGTGAGTGAGTGATCGGGTTGATGATATTCCCACACAATACTTCCTCATCCTACATCCACAAGCCTGTAGTTGTCAATGTAGGACATTCCGTGAGTGAGTGAGTGAGTGAGTGAGTGAGAATCAAGAAGCAGTGTTCAGACATGACACACAATGAGCCAGTTCTAACATTCAGAGAGAATGACAGCATATTGTTTCAATGCCACAATCAACAATAGTCCAGCTGACTTGCGACAAACCTGTAAATAATTGAGCCAGGCAAACCAGTGGTTGACAGCATAAGCAACGAAACATGAGTAAGATGACACACAGCCAAGGCCACGTTCCCCAAAGCAATCTTAGCACTATGACTGTCATAAATCTATGTTAAAGTATTGCAGTAACGTACATCTTAACACTATGATTGTCGTAAGACTATGTTAAAGTATGGGAGTTACGATCATCTTAGCACTACGACTGTTGTAAATCTATGTTAAAGTATGACAGTTACGGTCATCTTAGCACTACGACTGTTGTAAATCAATGGTAAAATATGGCAGTTATGATCATCTTAGCAGTGTGACTGTCGTAAATCTATGTTAAAGTATGACAGTTACGGTCATCTTAGCACTTCGACTGTTGTAAATCAATGGTAAAATATGGCAGTTACGATCATCTTAGCACTGTGACTGTCGTAAATCTATGGTAAAATATGGCAGTTATGATCATCTTAGCACTTCGACTGTTGTAAATCTATGGTAAAGTATGGGAGTTACGATCATCTTAGCACTACGACTGTTGTAAATCTATGTTTAAGTATGACAGTTACGGTCATCTTAGCACTACGACTGTTGTAAATCAATGGTAAAATATGGCAGTTATGATCATCTTAGCACTTCGACTGTTGTAAATCTATGGTAAAGTATGGGAGTTACGATCATCTTAGCACTACGACTGTTGTAAATCTATGTTAAAGTATGACAGTTACGGTCATCTTAGCACTACGACTGTTGTAAATCAATGGTAAAGTATGGGAGTTACGATCATCTTAGCACTGTGACTATTGTAAATCTATGTTAAAGTATGACAGTTACGGTCATCTTAGCACTACGACTGTTGTAAATCAATGGAAAAATATGGCAGTTATGATCATCTTAGCACTGTGACTGTCGTAAATCTATGTTAAAGTATGACAGTTACGGTCATCTTAGCACTTCGACTGTTGTAAATCAATGGTAAAATATGACAGTTACGGTCATCTTAGCACTTCGACTGTTGTAAATCAATGGTAAAATATGGCAGTTATGATCATCTTAGCACTGTGACTGTCGTAAATCTATGGTAAAGTATGACAGTTATGGTCATCTTAGCACTACGACTGTTGTAAATCTATGGTAAAGTATGGCAGTTACGATCATCTTAGCACTACGACTGTTGTAAATCTATGGTAAAGTATGGCAGTTACGATCATCTTAGCACTGTGACTGTCGTAAATCTATGTTAAAGTATGGCAGTTACGGTCATCTTAGCACTACGACTGTTGTAAATCTATTGTAAAGTATGGTAGTTACGATCATCTTAGCACTGTGACTATTGTAAATCTATGTTAAAGTATGGCAGTTACGGTCATCTTAGCACTACGACTGTTGTAAATCTATGGTAAAGTATGGCAGTTACGATCATCTTAGCACTGTGACTGTCGTAAATCTTGGTTAAAGTATGGCAGTTACGGTCATCTTAGCACTACGACTGTTGTAAATCTATGGTAAAGTATGGCAGTTACGATCATCTAAGCACTGCGACTATTGTAAATCTATGGTAAAGTATGGCAGTTACGATCATCTTAGCAGTGTGACTGTCGTAAATCTATGTTAAAGTATGGCAGTTACGGTCATCTTAGCACTACGACTATTGTAAATCTATGGTAAAGTATGGCAGTTACGATCATCTTAGCACTGCGACTATTGTAAATCTATGGTAAAGTATGGCAGTTACGATCATCTTAGCACTGTGACTGTCGTAAATCTATGGTAAAGTATGGCAGTTACAGTCATCTTAGCACTACGACTGTTGTAAATCTATGGTAAAGTATGGCAGTTACGATCATCTTAGCACTGCGACTATTGTAAATCTATGTGAAAGTATGACAGTTACGATCATCTTAGCACTGCGACTATTGTAAATCTATGGTAAAGTATGGGAGTTACGGTCATCTTAGCACTACGACTGTTGTAAATCTATGGTAAAGTATGGCAGTTACGATCATCTTAGCACTGTGACTGTCGTAAATCTTGGTTAAAGTATGGCAGTTACGGTCATCTTAGCACTACGACTGTTGTAAATCTATGGTAAAGTATGGCAGTTACGATCATCTAAGCACTGCGACTATTGTAAATCTATGGTAAAGTATGGCAGTTACGATCATCTTAGCACTGTGACTGTCGTAAATCTATGTTAAAGTATGGCAGTTACGGTCATCTTAGCACTACGACTGTTGTAAATCTATGGTAAAGTATGGCAGTTACGATCATCTTAGCACTGCGACTATTGTAAATCTATGGTAAAGTATGGCAGTTACGATCATCTTAGCACTGTGACTGTCGTAAATCTATGGTAAAGTATGGCAGTTACAGTCATCTTAGCACTACGACTGTTGTAAATCTATGGTAAAGTATGGCAGTTACGATCATCTTAGCACTGCGACTATTGTAAATCTATGTGAAAGTATGACAGTTACGATCATCTTAGCACTGCGACTATTGTAAATCTATGGTAAAGTATGGGAGTTACGATCATCTTAGCACTGCGACTATTGTAAATCTATGTGAAAGTATGACAGTTACGGTCATCTTAGCACTACGACTGTTGTAAATCTATGGTAAAGTATGGCAGTTACGATCATCTTAGCACTGTGTCTGTCGTAAATCTATGTTAAAGTATGACAGTTACGGTCATCTTAGCACTCTGGCTGTCATAAATATTTGAACAGTATGGCAGTTACGATCATCTTATCACTATGACTGTCATAAATCTATGTTAAAGTATGGCAGTTACAATCATCTTAGCACTATGGCTATCAGGAGACTATGTTAAAGCATAAGAGTTACGATGACCTTTGGGCTAAAATCACTTTGTTGAATGACCTCTTTTATCCAGCAAAAACAACCATGTGCTAAGAACCAATTCTGCCAGGGGATCCTGTTTGGATCCTGCTTGGGCACTGTACTTCAGGGTATATGAATGGGATTACAAGGTAACCATGGTTACTGTTGTCATGACGGGGATTTACCTTGGATATATATTTTGTGGGGCCAGGGGACACAAAATGGAAACCCAGAGAAATGCAACAAAAACATGAATACAATACTCTACCCACAGGCACATAAGACTGTGCATGCTCAAAGACCTTAAGCTGAAAATAGATATGGAGTACACAAATTGAAACAAATCTATGCATTGTATTTTACACACAGAAATTATTTTTACGTTGTACAAAATGATGCCATTATGGC